CCTCCAGCACACAGAGAACTCACAGCACAGTAAGGAACAAAACTGATCAATCAAGCTCTAGAAAAATTCAAAACAGAAATAATTTCCCAGATAACCATAGACATGGTGAGCAAAATGAAAGGCATGATTCCAGACTCCAAAACAGAAACTGACAAAAAAATAGATGAGCTTAGGAACACAATAGAAACCAAGAAGGCCCAGAATAAGAAAGAAATGGAAACAATGAACGCCCAACGTAGGAAGAAATGGAATCCATTAAACAGATTCAAACAGATATCCAGGAGATTAAAAACTTTATTGAAAGCATGCACAACAGAAAAATGATTGTGAAGATAGAATCTTAGATATAGAAGATAGGATCATAAACAGTGACCATGAAAACAGAGGTCTCTTAAAAACAGTAAGGGATCATGAGAAATTGATCCAACATCCTAGATGATGCAAAGAAGAATAACATACAACTGATAGGAATCCATGAAGTAGCAGGAGAACATGCAAATGACTTAAAAAAGCTGTTCACAGAATTAATGACAGAAAACTTCCCAAACAGAGGGGAAGAAATTGACATACAGATAAGCAAGGCATATAGGACTCCAACTAGCCACAATCAAAAAAACTCTATATGTAGACATATAATAATCAAGATCCCAGAAACCCAACAGAAGAACAAAATACTAAAAGCAGTAAGAGAAAGGAAACAAATCACATGCAAAGGAAAGCCCATCAGAATCACAGAAGACTTTTCAACACAAACTCTTAGGTCAAGGAGAGCCTGGAGTGAGTTATTTCAAGTCCTAAAAGAAAAAAACCTACAACCAAGACTAATGTAATCTGCAAAACTCTCTTTCAAAATGGATGGAGAAATAAGATACTTCCATGACAAAGAACACCTGAGAAATTTCATGAATACTAAACCAGCACTACAAGGAATTTTTAAAAATATCCTAGAAAAAGACAATGAAGATCAAAACACCATGAGGCCCAAGAGAGCAAATCAAATAGCCAAGGCAAGAAAATAAAAGGAGAGGACAAAAAATTAAAAGAGTTAACAAAAGGACAATAATAGGACAATAAGAAGTCACTACATATCAGTTATAACCATCAATGTCAATGTCCTCAATGCACCAATCAAGAGAAATAGATTGGCAGAATGGATTAAGAAGCAAAATCCAACAATATGTTGTATACAAGAAACACACTACTGCAAAAAGAAGTCCATAGACTGAAAGTGAAAAGATGGGAAACAATTCTCCACGCTACAGGAGCGCAGAAAAAATCAGGGTTAGCAATCTTATTCGCAGACAAAGTAAATTTCAAACCAAAACTGATTAAGAGAGACAAAGAAGGCTACTACATCCTTGTAAAGGAAACAATCTAAGAGAAATATATGACAATCATAAACATATACGCACCAAA